TCTATATATATATATATATATATATATATATATATATATATATATCTATATTAAAAAAAAAAAACAATGCATGAGGTTTTTTGTGAATTTAAAAAACAAAAAATATTAGTATTAATACAACTTATCACTCTCACTAAATTTGTTTAATTACAAAAATTAGAAATATCGTGAACACTATAAATTTCTATTTTCTATGGTTATAGTACTAAAAAATCAATGCCAGTATTTTAGGCAACTAAAAATGAATACTCTCTTGATATTTTATGCAATAAAAAATATCCACTTTCTCTGGATGTTCATGCAACTAAAAATCCCTATTTTCTTGTTACAGAAATCAACAAAATAAAAGAAAAGCTCTTGTTTTTAGTTTTCCCTCGTGCTGGCAACAGTAAAAAGAAAAGAAAAAGGCAGACTTTTGTTTTTCCTTTTATATGTATGTCTTAGTTAAACTAGAAAAAAAAAATTATTTTCTAGTTTTACAGTAGTTATTTTACTATTTAATTTCTTCATGTTAAAATCACTAATAGATTGGACCTACAACATATATCTAATAGAATAAATATTTTATATTCCAAAATGCAAAGCAGAACTCTGATACATTGTGTGAGTGAGTATAATGTTAAATTACATTCTCTAACTTTATTTAACAAGCTTTCAGGTGAAGCTGTTAAATTGTATGGTATCAAAATCTTATAGAGAAAGTGATTAATATTTCAAATCCTACCACCGTCATTCATTTTACTATCAAGTTAATAAATTTGACCTAGGTATTATACTGTTTTCCTTGATAAAAGATATTTATCTTCTTGAAAATAACACTTGGAAATTGGAATAAACTTGAAAAGCTAGCATTGTAGAATGAGATATATATGTACAAAAATAATAATGAAAAAGTATACACACAAACTAAAAAATATTATTATTAGATAAAAAAATATTGATTGTCGAATGAATTAATTAGAAACCCACTTATAATTAGTCATGTTATATTATTATCAATAAAATAAAAGTAAAACATGGTTTTACTATTCATTTACTATTTAAAACACTATTTACACACTCACAAATCACTATTCTTACATTCACAAATCACTATTCCCTTCACTTGTTCATGGTATTTTTGTAACATTTTGATCCTCAATTTTTCTATATATTTTTTCTAAATTTCAAAATTTAATTATATTGTGATTTGGTCTCATTTTGCTTTAGTAGTTTTTGTTAATTATTTTTATTATTTAAAATTTACTACTTTAGTTTGTCATTTTTTTAAATTCTATTTCTTTTTTCAATTTCAAACTTTAATTATATTGTGATTTGGTCCCATTTTGTTTTAGTGTTTTTTTAATTATTTTTATTATTTAAAATTTACTACTTTAATTTGTCTTTTTTTTTAAATTCTCACCAATTAATTTAAAATTATATTTACTAATATTATTTATTTATTTTTCTATATGTATGGATTTTTGAATAAATTTTTAGAATATGATTTTTTTTCTTTTGAAAATAGATTTAGATAATTTTTAAATTATAATGGCATGATTAATATATATAATTTTTCTGAAATACATTTTTAGATTAAAATTATATTTCAACTAATTTTTTCTTGATTTTTTATTTTAAATTTACTACATTAATTTGTCTTTTTTTTTTTTTTTTAAATTCTCCATTTTTTTTTTTAATTTCAAACTTTGATTATATTGTGATTTGGTCCCATTTTATTTTAGTGTTTTTTGTTAATTATTTTTATTATTTAAACTTTACTACTTTAATTTGTCATTTAAAAAAAATTATATTTCCTGACAATTTTGATTTGTTTTTTATATGTATGGATTTTGGAATAAATTTTAGAACATGATTATTATTTTTTTTGAAAAATAAATTTAGATAATTTTTAAATTATAGTGGCATGATTAATATATACAATTTTTTTGAAATACATTTTTAGATTAAAAGTATTTTTCAAATAATTTTTTCTAAGCTTTTTTATGTTATTTAAAATTTACTACATTAATTTATCATTTTTTAAAAAAAATTCTCTCTTTTTTTAAAAAAATTTCAAACTTTGATTATATTGTGCTTTGGTCCCATTTTGTTTTAGTGTTTTTTGTTAATTATTTTTATTATTTAAAATTTACTACTTTAATATGTCATTTTTTTAAATTCTCATACAATTAATTTAAAATTATATTTACCGATAATTTTGATTTATTTTTCCATATGTATGGATTTTGGAATAAATTTTTGGAACATGATTATTTTTTCTTTTGAAAAATAGATTTATATAACTTTTAAATTATAGTGGCATGATTAATATTTATAATTTTTTAAAAATAATTTTTTAGAATAAAAGTGTATTTCAAATAATTTTTTCGATTTTTTTTATAAAAAAAGTCAAATTAATTAATTAATAGTTGAAAATCAAATTAATATAGTTTTTTATTTTAATATTATTCATTCTTTTGTAAATAAATATATAAAAATTAAATTCACAATTTCAAAAACCGATATTGTCATCAACATTAAATAAAAAAATTATTTGTTCAATTATATGTAAGCTTTTAATACTTGTTATTTATTTTTTTCGATACAATCTTATAAAATACTAAAGCTTTTTTTAAAAAAATTATTTAATTTTCTTTTTAGTTAATAATACATGGATTAACAAGGATAAATCCTTTTTTAAAAGAAAAAATTATGAAAAACACAAATAAAAAATTATTAAATACAAATTTTTTATTAAAAATTATAAATAATTTTTTTAACCTTTGATTTCATATATTTTTATAGATTCACATGATAACACAGACTATCAAATTAAAATGATTTTTTTAAAAATGATTTCATATATTTTATCTAACTCATGGTATAATGCTGACAAAAACACTAATATTTTCTTAAAATTTTGCCCATGAATTACTACGCACCTGAGTACAACAAGCACTCTTCTTGAGAAATTCTTCCTATAGTTATTCTAGAGTTATTTTTTAGGAGAGAAATATGAGTGCATAAAAAAAAATTACATCGAACTCATAAAAAATAATAAAAATATTTTTACCAAAATTCAATTTTTTAAAAAATTTTTCTTTCTTAATTTTTTCTGTTTTTTTTTTTAATTTATAATTTATATCAATGCAGGATTCCGTCTCTTTCCATTTTTCTTTTCATTGAATCGTCTCTTTCCAATTTTAATTGCTAGCAACTCTCAACACTTATCATAAAAAAAAAAAAAAGCTTTCAATGGATATTTACTACATAGTGTCTTTTGACACTCAATTACTCGTATTTAAATCGGATTTTTTTTAGAGATAAATTAAAATGCGATAGAAAAATAAAATTTATTTAAATCATGCATACTTCTTTTAAATTAATTTTGAAGTTGAAAAAAATGACTTAGCTTACTAATTTGGCACAATCGCTACCAGAGTATTGAATTGTAGTAGCATTTCAACAGAGACATTTGATATCAAATACCATAAAAATGTAATTGATAGCATGATCCGTTGAAGACATCAAACCCCGTTGCACATGCATGTCTCAAGCTTGCTAATATATACAATACATGTTGTCCATCTCATGATGCCCCATCGGTTGCCTCCAAAGCAATTAATTCTTGGCCAACATAATTCGGCACGAGCTTGGAGTCTTGCTGGGTGATCAACGTCACGTTATTAATTGCATAGCCACTTTTGGTGCTGCCTCTAGCTTTCCATACATATACATACACACACGACTCCATCAACAGTTCTTCTGATCAAGAATAATGCCCAACCGCCTAAAGATCAATGTGCGAATTGAATCTGATAAATCAAGAAATTTTATAATACACAAGTAGTGATATGTACAGTAGTTATTTTTTGGTTTCACTTTGAGAAGAAAGATAGACACACAAAAAGAAAGAAAAAATAAAAAAGAGAAAATAAAAAAATTTGAAGCAGACGTGAAAATCTTCTTATCACTTTTAGTGGGTATAGATGTAATTTTTCTCTTTTTTACGTGTCTATCTCTTTCCTCAAAGTGGATACAAGGAGTAACTACTGTACATACCATTAGTTACTCCTCGTGTATTATAAAATTTTTCCTGACAAATCATTCGAGGTAAATCATTTATTTCGTTTGGTTGAAGCCATGAGACATTGACTTTGGCTTCGAATGGATATATGATATCATATTCATGTTTTTATAAATATTTGACAGGATGCCTGTAATATCCGGTTTAGGTAACGTTGTATTGTTTGCTTTCAAATTAATTCAATATAAAAATAAAAAATTTTATAATAATTAACGAGTAATTAATATATATTTATAGTAATTATTTTATAAATTTATTTTTTTAAAAAAGATAGATATCTATAAAAAAAATCAAATTTGCTGTACTAAAAATGATAAAAAGAATTTTACATTATTTTAATTTTTTAAAAAATTTTTCTCTTTTATTTTTTTTATCTGTTTGTATCTATTTCTTTATATGAAGTAACTAGTGCACTAGAGGTGTTGTCATCTTTTGGTTTGATTGATAAAATTCTTTTAGAGAATAGCTTATATTGTCTAGCAAAAAGCATTTCTCAAAGAAATAAATATTTTATTAAAAAATATTTATGATGTACGTACAACTTAAGAAAAACAATTTCCTTAGAACAAAATATTTTTTTTATGGATACGTGTAATTAAAGTGATATAAATGAAATAAGCTGTGTGTTGGAACTATTAATAGTATAAAATATTTTTTATTGATAGTTATAATTAAAGAGAAATTTAAACTCGATATTTTTGAAAAGAGAAAAATGATAATTCCATTTTAAGCACGACTCATCGACTGACTTCAATTAATTATTACTGTCGGCACCGTAAAAGATAAACAAGTCTGTCGTTTTTTTTCAACATATATTAAATTTTCAGTTCGCTGGCAGACTTTGCTAGTCGCGCTATAAATGCTACGTGCTGGCTTGACCTGATCAATATCTTTGTTATAGCCACTGGTCAATATCTTGCTCTGATCCACCATGGATACTCTCTTTTCTTCCAAATTTTTGTTTTGTGGCTTCTTTTTCTTCTTTGTTTCACTTGATTGTATCTTATGTACTGATAAAAAGCTTTTCCAAGATGGTCTCGGAAACTACTTCCAACTTGCTCTCCCTGGAGTCGTTGGACCAGAAAGCATTGCCTTTGATTGCAATGGCAAAGGGCCATATGTTAGCGTCTCGGATGGCAGGATCCTGAAATGGCAAGGAGCTAATCCTGGCTGGACAGAATTTGCTGTCTCTTCACCTCAAAGGCAAGAAGACCTCAAGTCCTTGACAAATATTGTGCAGTTCATTTTGTTCTCCATCTTTTCCTTTTTACATATATTACTTGAGTACTTCATAAGTAGGAAATCATCTAATCCAAGTCGTCCCATAAATCCTCAAAGACTTGCACCGAATCGACAACCAGAACTTGTAAGCGTGGCTGATACTCAAATTCATCACCAAAAATTGGGGGTCAACCGCGTCCCCCGCCTATGAACTATTTTCATATTCCTAAAATATCAACTTTCTTTTTTGGGTCAACAAAAGTACAGTGAAAATTAAGCATGCAAGAATGGACGTACTTTCATATTCCTAAAATATCAACTTTCCTTTTTGGGTCAACAAAGTATAGTGAAAATTAAGCATGCAAGAATGGACTTATCCAGTCACTGCAGAGAATCATTTTCGGTGAGGTTTTGGGACCATTTAAGCTAGACATGACTTGCGTGCGTTTTGGTTTGACCTGTATTTCACTTCTGCTCCCTGTTGATTAATTGCTTAAACTTTCTTCTGGTCAAATAATTTATTAATTTTGTTAGGTGCCGGGTTAAAGGAGGGTAGTTGTTGTTTTTAGATATGGCATGGATATCTTCGTTTATGCTCTGTTAGGTTCATAAACTAGCAAATTTACTGTGATTGTGCCCAATTGATGATATTTTTGGTCGTGCGTGCTGTTCTTAAAAGTAAAACACTATTTTTAGCTGCTGATCATTAAAAAAAAAAAAAAAAACAAAGGCAGGCTTTTTTAATTATCAACTTTTACTTTTTTATTTTTCAACAAACTTTTTACCAAATATTTCTACTTTGAAAAATAGGATCAAAAACTTCTTTTTAGCTTATACGCGCAACAGTGTCAAACAAACGGTAGAGGTAATGATTAAAGTGTGCAGGAGGTGCTCTTAATTATGATATATTTAATTCATCTCATGGTAGCAATTGATTAAAAGTCAAAACTTAGACAGACTTCTGGCAGTAGTCCTGCAAGTTGCAGCTGATGGCGATAATTTATTGTGGTCTTGTAAATTGCTTAATTACAATAGGGATAGACAGATGTGTGATGGCTCAACAAACATCGAACTGGAACCAGTGTGTGGAAGACCACTAGGCATCAAATTCAACCCTGCAACTTGTGATCTCTACATTGCAGATGCCTACTATGGGCTCCTAGCAGTAGGACCAAACGGTGGGGTGGCCACACAACTTGCTGCGTCAGCTGAGGGAGTCCCCTTCAGATTCATGAACGCTTTGGATATCGATTCCGAAACAGGAGTAGTTTATTTCACAGACAGTAGCATTTATTTCCAAAGAAGGTAATACTATTTCCAGCCTTAACTCTTCTTTCTTCTCCGGTTACTTAACTTATGCAGTAACTTAAATGTTTTGGGATATAGCGCCCTGCCCAGAAATGACTATTTTAAGACATGCATTATTAGCATTGGTTCTTTCATCATGCAGGGAATATTTGCTGGCAATCATAAACGCTGATAAAACTGGAAGATTAATGAAATATGATCCAAAACGCAAAAAAGTGACAGTACTGCTCAAAGGCTTAGCGTTTCCAAATGGAGTGGCCCTAAGCAAGGACAATTCATTTCTTCTAGTTGCCGAATCAGGTACAATGCGAATATTGAAGTTTTCCCTTGTGGGTTATGAAATACAAGGACAAGAAACTTTTATTCAACTCGGAAGATTCCCTGATAACATCAAGAGGACTGCTGATGGAGAATTTTGGGTTGCACTAAATACTGGAAGAGGAAGGATTCGAAGATTGGATGCCACAAAACTACAACAGGAAACTGCTATCCATTGGTTTGTGGATGATCCTGTAGCAGTTAAACTTACTGCAGGTGGTAAAGTGGTTAATATATTGAATGGAAATGGTGGCAATGCTCTTGATTCTGTTAGCGAAGTTGAAGAATATAGAGGCCTTTTGTGGATAGGATCTTCCATGAAGCCTTATGTTGGTTGCATCAAGAATCAAAATTAAATTCAGGGTTACAAAAAATTATACTACTCTACCCAGCCAAAAATTTACTTATATCAACTTTCTATAAGCTGCAATGCCAGAAAAAAAATTTCAAATACAAAGTCAGATCCTATATCATGATATTTTTAATAGACAGTGTCTGACAAATATCATGATGTATAATTAAGGAGCTGCCTTTTCTTTTCCTTTCTTTTACTTTTTCTTCTTCCTGGACCAACATTACTTTCTGCCAAAGAAATGTATTGAAAATGGACAATCTTCTTTATTCCTGTCTGGTGCCTCGGGACCTTGAGATGTCGCATTCCTTAATTACTGTGAGGATTAAGTAGACCTGTCTCATCTGCCATGGGTACGCTGAAGTTCAGAATATGGTAGGTCAGTTTCTCCGCTGTAAATTTTGATCATTCGTCTCTTCATCTTTTTAATGTCTACGTTTATGAAATCGATCCTATTTACCAACCAATTCAACAAAGTCTAATTACCAGCTGATATATCCACATGATTATGATCATAACACGTATCCCCTTGTTCTATTGAAAAGACCACCAGACTAAAGCACAGTCATGAACATGAAAACGCCGACCAGCCACTAGGAGAATCTCCGGTCCGTTGGACAAGACCTAACAGCCAATACTGATGAATTACCTAAACAAAGAAAGCACACTTCCTCTGCTTGTTAGACAAAAAAAATATACATATTTTTAATCAAATATGACTTATTGGGATGTCGCCACATCTTCATCGAACATAATTGCACATGTGTTGTTAAGCAACAACATCTGCTTAAAAGAATCCTAAATCTTAAAATGGATGTCAAAAGTTGTTAAACATAAAAAATATAATTGCACATGCGTTGTTAAGCAATATCGTCTGCCTAAAAGAATCCTAAATCTTAAAATGGATGTCAAAAGTTGTTGAACATAAAAAAATAGACATACCAACTTCTTCGTGCAAGTTGATCACATTCCAACCAATATAAAAGTTAGCACATTAAGTGTCACAGGCTCTGGATTTTAAGCTCAAAACGGATATATTATTACACATCTTCTCCATAAAATAGCTAATTTCCTATAAATCTATTGAGGCAATGCACCTTTTTTTTTCCCGCAAACTAACTTAGCTATTTGAGGATCCTCTAAATACTATAAAAAGACTTGTTTTGCAAGCATTCGACATTCATTCAACATACAACAAGTTATAGCCACCACGCGATCAGCCTAGATTAAAATCCATCCAACCATTAATTTTAGTTTGAGGAGAGCAACCTCGTTGTGCCGCCATATGTGAGAAATTGAGAAAAAAACAATGCCTAACTATTTTATTTTTCCATCATTAAGCTTTTCTATGGTCGACAATCAAAAAAATCCAACACATTTTATACCATATGATTTTGCCAGTTTCAATGCTCTACCAATCAACGTTCTCCGACTACAACGATCATTACAAGAAAAAAGAGTAATAGAGATGGATGATTCCGTTGCTATTTAAGCAAAATCCATCGCTAAATTAATTTAACAACGGATTTGCAATCGAAAAGAATATGTAGCTAAAATGCTTGTTGCTAAAATCTACAATGGAATGAATAGTTTCCACCACTAATTCATTTTATTTTGTCGCTAAGTTTATAACGAAACCGTCTTCTTTCTACCATATAATATATCATAATTTCGTTGCAAACACATCTTAAATTTGTTACTAAGTAACGAACAAAAAACCATCGCAATGATTCGATACTAATATTGCTCGCAATTTCATCGCTAGTCCATCCTTAACTAGCGATAGTTTTTTCTCGTCACTATTTTCTCATTTTTCCTACCTCCCATATTTATAGGCAAAATTAATTAGACTTTTTCCCTTGGTTGAATCTGTCTCCGCCCTTAATTTGGTGCAATCTTGGCCCTCAATTCTCCTTTTAATCTCATCCCTTCATTTGGTTTTCATCTTAACCATCCATCATTTTTTTAATTTTCATCCTTCCATCCAACCCTTCTTTTTAATCCTTAACCCTCCATTTGTGCATGCATTAATTACATTTGAATAATTGGGGTGAAAGTGGCTGCAAAAGAGGAGAAAATCTCTCCCAAAAATTGCTTAATTTTAGTTATTTAATTTGTTAGTCTCGTCATTTAATTACTCTTCCATAAGTCCTTCAATTATTTAATTGATCACTTTAGGCCCTTCCTTTAAAGGTTTTATAACAACTTTTTAATTCATAAAGTTCATCTCAAATTTAATTTGAAAGTTTAATCTTTTAATTTTATGCAATTAGGTCCCCAATCCTATAAAATTTATTCCACACCTTTTCAAAAATTAATTTCTTTTCGTAATAAATTCAAACACCTTCTATAAGAATTTATTCATCATTAACATAGTTTTTATACACTTATTTAATCCCTCTAATTAATTACTTTGTGTAGAAATGCATTTATTTCTATAAAAAATATTCCCTATGTTGAGAAAAATTCAAATAAGTTCATGAGATATTCCTACATATCCTAAATGATTTTTCTATGTCCATTGAATAATTTTCATACACCTTTAAAACACTTAAAATAATTAATTTACTTAGAAAATGCTATTCATGCACTCGAAAAGTTCAAATAAAATAATCATTGAACATTAGAAAATTCATCCAATTACATCGAATAATCTAGCACCCCTTTAGAAAATATTCTAAGTAAACAAAACATTTTTCATGCACATATAACATGCTTAAAATAATTATTTTGCATAAAAAATTACTCTTCATGCATTGAAAAATCAATAAAATACTCACTCGGCATGGAAAAACTATCTTAACTATTCCGAATATTCTAAACCCCCCTAATGATTATTTCATGCCCATAAAACATTTTTTATATGCCTCTAACATCCTTAAACTTATTTAATGACTCGTTTTAAAGAGTATTACGGGATAACTTCGACCGACCATCAAGAGCATCACAATCGAGCAAGACCTAGACAACTAATACAAGTGAATGACCTGAATAAATAAGGTTCCCCTCATCTCACTTGTTAGACAAAAAGACATACATTTAATTAAAATATGGCTTCTTAGGATGTCATTGTCTCATCGTCATAAAATATGACTGCACATGCATCTTGAAACAACAACAACCTCCTAAACGAATTCTAAACTTTCAAGTAAATGTCAAGAGTTGTTAGATACAAGAAAAGAGACCAATCTATCTTTTACTTCATGCAAGTTAATCACATCTTCACTTATATAAAGATTAACACATTAAGTGTCACGTATTTTATTTTCTAAACTCGTAACATATATACTATTATGTATCTTCTTTATATAAGAGATAATTTTCTAAAAGCCTACTCAAATAATAAACTCTCTCTATAAGCTAACTTAGTTAACATAAAGTTCTCCAAACATTAGAGAAAAACTTATTATGCAAATACTTGTTATTGATTCAATACACCACAAGTTACAACAACCACACAATCAATCTAAATTAAAAGCCATCCAACTATTAATTGTAATCCAAAGGGCACGATCTCAACACCAAGCTTGAAGACATAAATAACCATAGAGAAACTATGCATTCATTTATTAATTAGCAAAAAAAGGCTATCAAACAATACGTGGAAATCAAACCCGAAGACATAAATCATCATAGAAAAACTATACATGAAATTGTGAACTTGAAGAAAAACTATCAAACGGATATGTGGATAATTGTCAAGCTGGAAATCAAACCCCGAAGACATAAATAACTGTAGATGAAGACATAAATAACCATACGTAAATTCCAAATGGAGTTGAGAACTTAAAGAACAACTATCACACAATATGTGGATGTTATCCCAAATACTTTATGGGAAAATTTAGGTGCCCTAGGTGCATAATCTCCCCCTTTTATTTCATTTCGATGTTAATAGAGATTTAGGTATCTATTAGATTTTCTCAATGAAATAAAGTTTGAGTCCGAACAATTTCCTCAGTTATGATGGAACGAGAGTGGACTATCAAATTGTGTAGCCTAAGGTTCATCGAACCTTCCACTCGACATGAAAAAAAGAAAAAAAAAACACGAGTTTTCGGCTTTGAAGTAGGTTATTAGACTAACCTACGGTCCTTAATCCTCAATTCCTTTCATGGTTTTATGAGTCTGGTATCAAACTATAATGCAAACTAGAAACAAAATAAATATTTTACCGAACAGATCACAATCTAAGTTTCAAATATAATGTAAATGCATCTTTGGCACTGCTCATTAAATTTTTTATTCTTCCTTGTGTCAAAAAGACTCATGAAAAATCGCTTTACATCAATATTGCTGACATTATTTCTGTTAATGGTCCTAGCCAAAGCCAAAAAATAATTCTGTTAATGGTCCCGTAGCCTTCGCTTCTATTGCAACAGGTGCTGTTCCAAAGTTCCTTGGCCATGTGGCTTTGACCTTCGGTGTTGTTACTCTCACTATTCAACCAGCTGGGTTCGACACAACGCTTGGATGGTTGAACATTTCTACACAAGTGGCAACAGAATCCTATTCTTGGAAGTGGGGTCGGCATTCAGATTTTTAAATGTCTTTTTAGAATGTAATTGCTAAAATGTACTATTGTGTTCTGTTCAAAATGAAAAATTTTAGTAATTTGTCTTTATTTGCTTGGTTTATTCTTGAAAAGTCACGAAAAATGCAAACAAGTTTACTATTGTATTCTTAATATTTAAAGTATTTAATTTAACAATAAAATATCTATTTATTTCTTTGATATAAACACTTGTATTAATTTGTGTTTCAAACTAGTATATTGAAAGGAATCAACAACAAATTTAATTTATAAAAGTATCATTATCAAGAAAAATAATATATATACCAATAAATTACATAATATATATATATAACAGTGACTTAAAAACATTTGTGTATATCTCAAGACACTTAAGATTTCTTGAAATTTAAGATGTCTTAATTTATCAAACATAAAATATTTGACATCTCAAAAAAATTTTCTAAAAGAATAGAACCAAATTTAGCATATTTTGGTGCTATTTTAGCTTAGGACGTGATGAATTTAGTTCGATTGAAACCAAACTGATCCGAAGGTACAGCCTATAAATATAAAAATAAAAAATCACTATTCATGTTATTCCAGTTTTCGTAAATCCCAGCATGGAAAGGTAATGATCCAAAAGGGTAACAGCTTGCTTGATAACAGAGCATTAAAGGCTTGAGGCCATTGGGGCTGTGGGTTACCAATTCAGTGTAAGGAAATGCAAGTTATTAGGCCCATGGAAGTTCAGTGTTAGCGCTTATAAGATGGGTGCAAATCCTCCCTCAGAAACTTACGAAGGGTAGGGTTTCAAATATCCGTCTTTTTTTTTTCCTCAAAAAGATAATGATATCTTTCGGTAAGTTTTTACCCACAGAGATTACATGGATTGATTCATTCATTAACAAATTAATTTTTTATGTTTTCCATAAAATTTAAACTTTATATATATAGTGAGAATCTCAAATGATTTTAAACTATACAGTAAGAATAACAATCTATTATATATACATAATCATAATTGAAAAATTGAAATTTTAACTTTATTTCATCGAAAAGCAGTATTAAATACATAACCATAGATTAAACATATATTTATTCATACCCTAAATAATAATGGGTTTTGCAAGAACCTTGTATTTATATTTTTTTTATTTGATTTGATTAAAACTTTTTATTTTTTGAAATTTTCTATTTCAGATTTTCTATTATAACTTTATTAATCAATAATTGATATGCTATTTTTATTTTTTAAAATTTCTTATTTTATATTGTTATATGTTAATTATTAATTGATAGCATTATAATAAATAGTTTGAAGTAAAAAAAATTAAACAAGAAATGATTTAAATTAAACTAAAAAAATAAATAATCTTAATAAAAAAACTCAAATAATATAGAGCCTAAAGATGAAGAAAAACGCAAATAATAATATGAAAAACATACTACTTATTTACCAACTAAATTAAGGTTCCGTTGGCTGTGCCACGTGCACCCTCATTCGGGCTTATAAATTAAATCCAGTTTGATACGGCTGGTCGGTTTTAAATGAAACCAAATAATGCTCGCTCGGACGGTGTCGTCGACACTGAGAAAAGCAAGCTCGCAAAAACTGCACGCGGGGGGCAGTGAAATTTCCCAGCAACAGTACACATTGATTCGTGTGCAAGCTATCCTCAATGCACTGCCTTAAATAATTGCAGAAAAAGACACAAACCAGCAACTTGCCAGCTAGCGAGCTGGACAGGAAAGCATGTAGTACGTGAAATGTAAGAAACTTAAAAGATCTGTCTTCTTTTGATGGCCCGAAAGCAATCTTGTAGTGGTAGTCCATATTTTGCATCTTTCAAATTAACAATCTAACCAAAAAAGGAAAGGCACGCTCCTTGAACACTGCACAAATACCCTTATACCCGTTCTGGGTCTCCTGTGTATTTTTTATTTCTTATTATTACTGATACTAATACGTCCCAAAACTTTTGAATTCTGTCAAATGATCAATAATAACCAGAAAGTTGGACAGTAATTCAATGGTCAAAGTCGTAAAACAAGTGAAAAAGCCACCCAATGAGTGGCTTGCAGTTACATCTTTATTTCACGACAAAGGAGAAATAAAAACAGACAGTCAACGTCTTAACTACTAAGCACCCTAAAATGTGCCAAGTGCTTGTAGGTAAGCGGTGATAAAGACAGGTTAAACCATATGTACCCTGAATTTACACCCTATCATAGCATTAGACAGTAAAGATTGGGGTCATGTGGACCATTCATATAAAAAATTTCGTAGACGTGTGTCCAAGAAAGAGAAGCTTCGTAAGGATGCAATCCTGGAATAGATCGAGTCCTATCCGAAGTTGTTGAAGATGTCGCCTCAAAAGCCAGAGATTTGGGCTCCTCTCTTTTTCCCTCTCCAAGTTGATAAACGGAGGACATGGATATTTGTGTCAAAGAAAATCTAAGAATCGCAGCATAATAAAGAAAACGGCAGTATAGAAGAAGAATATGCCTCAAGGGATGCTAGAAAAGAAGAAAAGGAAGGAAATTAATAAGAAGAAAGTGACGGTAAAGCACATGGTTCAATGGTGCTTCAAACTTTTAGAGGAGTGGCCCAGTACAATCGGGAACAGTCACCTTTCATGCAAAGTCATCGACACTTGTTGGGAGGTTCTTTCTTTAGGATTGAGTGCAAAACTGAAGTCATTTTTCTAGATATAGGTATGGAAAGTTAATTAAAAATGTTTGCATACACTCTGTCTAGAACATGAAATAAAAATGTTGAGAACATCATTTGAAAAAAAAATTCCAACTTCATTTTTGTCAAATAATTTTTTTATAGACAAAATTTCTACTCACGAATCATGCTTTCTCGTATCTTTCCAAGAGAGAATCTCTTTTTTTGATTTATTCTTTTTAATATATCTTATAAGAGAAATTACTTTTACTAAACAATAAAACATAAATTGGTACGAGACTTTCTGTGAAATCTCTAGGAAATTACATTACCTAATATTGATGCAAGCAAATAGAAATTCCATGAGCTTACTTACCATTTTCCATTTTTAGTTTTCTATGTTCCAAAGAATTGAATTTGTTTAGTTTTCGCGTAATAGCGATCTTCTCATATTTAAATAAAAAATAAAATCCTCCAAAATATGTGGAAAAAAAAAACAAAAAGTAGCGCAAAAATGAGTTCCCCTTTCATACGGGGCCAATTGACTTAATATTCTCTCTCTTGCCGCCTTTAGGGCGGGAGATCAACCCATTGCCTTTATTTTTTCTCTTTTCTAAAATCTGCGCCCAAACCTCACTGCTCCTGAAAAACCAACTAGTCTCTCTGATCTCCCCATTCCCAACGGTACAAAATTTCTAACTGTTTCAAATTGCTGTTTAGATCTGTTATTTTTTCTCTCGATTTCTAACCAAAAACAAAACAAAATCATTTCAATTTCAGATCCATTTTCCTTTCCCAGCAGTATCCAATACAGGTTAGCATGAAAATCTCTGTTCTTTTTTCTTTTCAATCTGATTAATTATGTAGAGATTGACACGATCAGGTTGGGTTAATGATTTTTTTTTCATTTTTTAAAAATAATTTTCTGTGTTTGTGTTTGTTTTTTTTTTTTTTGAGCAGTTAGGTTAAAAAATGGGATATATAGGGTCACATGGAATAGCAGCACTTCACAGATACAAATATAGTGGAGTAGATCACTCTTATGTTGCTAAATATGTGTTGCAACCTTTTTGGAGCCGTTGTGTTAACTTCTTCCCTCTTTGGATGCCGTAAGCTCTTTCCTTTCTTCTCATATATATATATATATATATATATATATATATTCTTTTAATTGGAACGTTCACTAATATTTCTTGTTTGTTTCTGTGTGGAAATGGGACTTTGTGTACTTATGGCTGTAATTCAGACCGAACATGGTACGATAAACCGGGCTTGATGCTTTTAATGGTTTTAAATTTCTGGGTTATGTCATCTTGCTTGGTTTTTTTTTCCCCTAATTTTGTTTGTGTTTTTTTTTTTTTAAGATTACGCTTATGGGATTTATGTTCTTGGTGACTTCTGCTTTGCTTGGATATGTAAGTGGGGAATTTCATAAATATGTTATTTATGTGATATATTTAAAAAAAAAAAAAAAACTCAGTTTGCGGTTGTATTTCAGATATATTCACCTCGCTTGGATACGCCTCCACCAAGATGGGTTCATTTTGCACATGGATTGCTTCTATTTTTATATCAGGTTTGATTCTAATTGTAACGGGTGGTGTTGTTAGTATGCTTTTTTTTTTTTTTTTTTCCATGGCGTGTGGTTGTGCACGTAGGGTTAATGTGTTTGTGCCATGGTTTTTCTGGCTTTTTTTTTTCATTTGATAGACTTTTGATGCTGTTGACGGAAAGCAAGCTCGGCGGACAAACTCGTCGAGTCCATTGGGGGAACTTTTTGACCATGGTGATTTATGTTGTTGGATTAAGTTGTCCATTTTTACTATTGGATGTTGTTGACCATTGCTGAAATGTGCTTTCGGTGTTTTCAATGTATTGCAGGATGTGATGCGCTGGCTTGTGCAGTATGTGTTCATCCATCTCTCTTTTTTTTTTTTTTAAGTACTCTAGCAGATTCAGTTTCAATATCTGTTTTTGTCGTTTTTCAGTTTGAAAGCCTGGCCTTTGGTAGCACTGCCATGTGTGGAAGAGATTCTTTCTGGTTCTGGTTTATTTCAGCTGTGCCATTTTATGGTGCAACATGGGAACAGTAAGTGATATAAACTTGCTTGTTATTAGTTTTTTATTGGTTTGAATGATATAATATGACTTCGTAAGTTTTATTTATATTTTTCTTCCTTTTGCTCAGACCTGCTGCCATCTACTTTTCTTTACTGAATTCTTTTGTTCTATTATTTTTCTCATGTTCTCACTTATGTAACTTTTGTACGTTACTGACAATTTGAATGCTTGCTTCCTTGCATCCAGCTTTTTCACCAATACTCTCGTTCTTCCAGCAGTTAATGGACCTACAGAGGGTCTAATGCTAATATATGTGGCTCATTTTTTTACAGCCTTAGTTGGTAAGTTCTTCCTACTTGCAATACCATTGCTTATTTTGCTTCTAATTTTTTTTAATATAGCACATCATGATAATCTTTTCATTGTCTTTTTGCTTCTTTCTGTTGTCTCTTTTTCTTCCACTTTGATATTTTCAGTTTGTTAGTAACTTAAGTTCTTTTCTTTAAGGTGCTGAGTGGTGGGTTCAAAACTTAGGAATGTCTTTCCCATTCTTGAGTTGGGTGCCATTTGCAAGTGGTAAGAATCAACAATTCCTCAATATACTTGGGGATGAATGCATCATTCCAATTTTGTGCTTTTTTCCCCTTTCTGGAGATACTTTATGACTTTGTCAATATTTTATTCCACCTTATATGTCACTGACTGAAATGAGAATTGTTGGATATCTTTAGCAGAAAATTTTGTGCACAACAGCAGATTATGTGTGCAAACTTAAGACCAGAATGCTTTGTAGTCTACCTTTTATTCAGTCCAGTGCAAAAAATTTGATGGCAGGTGGAATAAAACGTCTTTACTTTTGACTTAAAAATGTTTTGTGTTGAACTCATTTCTGTTTAAGATGACATACTCATAATGTTGCTGAACTGCTGTTTGGTTTTTTTTTTTTTTCCTGTGATTAGTCTACTTTTCCATATGATAATGACCCAACACACTTACAATCTCATGTTTTAAACATTTGTGTTGATTGCCCATGCAATTCAGATCAAGGACCTATTCAATGTATCCATAGTTGCTTGTATATTTTCGTGTGTCCATAACTTGTTCTTTTTATTTGTGTTTTGTTTTTTATTCTTTCTGATGTATCATTATTCACTACACGAAAGTGTATACCATGATTTTTCTGTCTACGAATAATTGCATGCATTGTGTGATGGATGTGAAGAAGTAAACATTATCTTGGCAATAATGAGCCAAACTAGCATTTGTAATGCATCCCCCTGTTAAGTAGTCATTGTTACGACAGGAACTCCCATTTCTCTGGCAAATACAGCCCCGTTGATCATTTCTTCGCATGTACCTTCAGTAGCTTTTAAATGATGCCCTTTGATTTCACTGGTTTCGGCCTGTGTTTATGAAGTGCTTCGGCAAAAAGTAATAAACGATCTCTCCGATGCTTAACTGGTTGGGAGTTCACATTCTCATCATCTTAAGTCCACCATGTAGACATTCATAAAATGCTAATGGTTTACTTGACAATACATGTTTTATGAAGTGACATTTGAGTTGCCAGATTTTATCTTTTAATTGGTGGGACGTTACTATGGTTTTTGTCTTTTGTATAATCTGCTTGTGAAATAACACCTTATACTAGCATGTAGATGCTAATTGACTCAGTCCTGGTGGCAGAAACACTTATATTTTTGCCTTCTTACTGTCCATGTGCTTATTTATTTTGTTCTCTCCTTGTCCTACTGTACTTTATTTCATAGTTTTTTCTTCCACATGTAACATTTTCTTTTGCTCTGTTTTTTCCCCTCTTTTGACTTCAGAAATCCCAACTTACAGAGTCGTGCTGTTTTTAATGGCAGCTTTTGCTGTTATACCCACATTGGCATTCAAGTAAGCAGTATTGTATATCTAAAATGGCTAAAAATTTACATCTAATGTTCCTACCTATGATCTTTTCCTTTATTTTCCAATTGCATTTAAACTGAACTTCCTTATTGAAAATTTGTATGGCTACCCATTCAATTATGAAGAAAGACGAAGATAGACAAGGGTTATTTCTTGCACATGCTGAGAAATGACACCATCATCGTCATCATCAATTTTTTCTTTTGAAGGGGTTGTGGGGATGGGGTTTTTTTGCTGTTGTAGATGTGCTTGAATTTTGCTGCAATGGGTTCGTTTGTGCCAAATGGTTAGCGTGAATGTTCCGTCATAGATTGTACTCATAGGTTTACCTAGAGGCACATGTGGGCCATGAATGCAACTGTGTGGTGAAGATGTGATATATTTCTGCAGTATTAACTTTTTTTCTGCAGTGTGTCCAATGTCTACAATGTTGTTCAAGCAAGAAAAGGCAGCTTGTTACTGGCTTTAGCAATGGTAATTCTGTAAACGCTTGCACAGTCCTTTCTTAGTTGTATGAATGCTTTGTAGATGTCTTATTATTCTTTATTGCTGTCAGCTTTACCCTTTTGTTGTGCTCGTTGGTGGAGTCCTAGCATGGTATGACTCAACCTTTGATATTTTTACTAATGTTTTTCTTGATGTGCATGTTGGGTTTAATATGAGGATGTTGGTCTTCATACGGATCTTGCTTCTTATGCAGGGATTATCTGTCTCCATCTGATCTAATGGCAAATTATCCTCATTTGGTTATATTGGGAACTGGACTTGCATTTGGGTTTCTTGTGGTAAGTTATGCAAAGTTTATGTGACTACCTTTCAAGGAATTATCGGTCTCTGTCTTATTTCTCTAAATTGCTGTTCTGTTTCCATTTCAAAGTGAAATCTATTAGTTTAGTGCTAAGGAGATGGTTGATTGAGATGGACTGGGACCCTCAAGCCCGTGGTCTGGTGTTCTGCCTGAAAGGTTGCCAGTTGCCGGCATTTGTATCAAAATGATGGTGCTGGTTCCAAATAGATTGACTATGATATGGACAGGGATTTATTACAATTTGAACTCTTCTACCAAATTATTCATTCTGGACATGCAATTTCGGAACCTTGTGTCTGAAAGTACACTCAAATTGTGGTGCGACGCTGTTGCAAAATGCAGTCATACATGGTCACTAAGTTTTTTTGAATATGGCGCAAATTAGTTTAACAATGACCATTCAGATGCGCCTTCCCTTCGTTAGCTGTTATGTGCACTTTTTAAGTGGATTTAGCACATATTATTAGGGATCTGAAAGTCTGAAATTTTACTATAATATTTCTAGAAATGCAGATAAAATTTTTGCACATGATGGTGCTTCAAATTGGCAACTGTTGTATTCTGGCTACATGATCACATGTTTCTGTTACAGATGAGATCAGCATCTAAAGTGGAATAAAAAACAAAATAAAAAAGAAAAGGAAAGAAAAATGAAATCAGTGTGCAGATCCCAAAAGGAATACACATTTTCTTTACAGATTATACTGGTGTGTCTCAATATCAAATTAGATTCGTTCGAGTCCACACTTAGCATATGTTATCGTGATAGCTTCTTACCACTTCAGCCTGAAATTGCATCACAAAATCTCGTGCAAACAACAGTTTTGTGTATGTTGATGTTTACAGTGGGTGTTGTGGAGCAGGCATCTAATTATATTCTTATGTGTGTGCTGCTGTGGTAGAAGTTTTTAAATTTTTCCGAAATTATACAAGTGCTGCAGACGATCGACTTATATTGTACTATTTCTGAGAGGAAGTTTCATTTGACAGGGAAGGATGATTCTGTCTCACTTGTGTGATGAACCAAAGGGATTGAAAACCAACATGTGCTTGGTATGTTTTGTTCAGTTCTCTACTATTGAAATCATATGTAAAGTTTATTCTTATGCTTTATTAGAAAATGTGTATTTTGATATTCTGCTGTATATCAGCAGCATTGCAGAAATATTTAGATCTCTTATATATTAAATTTCTGGATGATTCTCCGAAATATCCAACACATGTTCTGCCTTATCTGAGCTGTTTCAGACACTTGTGAGATACAGCAATGGCTCGTTTATCAGAGTTAATAAGCTCTTGTTAATGAAAAAACGTAGACTGGTTCCCCCATTAAGTATTCATATCTATGTTCTGGAAGGAATACTTGTGGGAGGATTGGTGGGTGACCTACAGTATTGTACTGGTCGTTATTGAATATCCTTTCCCAAAAACTTTCTATTTTTCCTTTTTTCAGTTCTCAATTTCATTCCTGGGAGATTATGTTACTAAATGCGAATTTGATTATCAACCTAGTGCTGAACAAGTGAGTTCCATTTTTTTGTTCTGCAGTCTCTGCTCTATCTACCATTTGCCATCGCAAATGCACTCGCAGCCAGACTGAATGATGGGTAAGTGGAAACTGATCATGTTGCTTTGGTTTCTGATGTTAAACAGTAGGCATTTGATTTGATCTATTTTTTACTGCCGTGTTAATTTTATGAGAACCTTTTATTGCAGAGTTGCTTTAGTCGATGAGTTCTGGGTTCTTCTTGGTTATTGTGTATTCACAAGTACGCACCTGTTACCTTGTTTTGCTAATGCATCTTTGGTCATATGTTTTATTTGCTTGTTTATACTATTGGTGGTATGTTTTTATTTGCTTGTTTATACTATTGGTGGTATGTTTTTATTTGCTTGTTTATACTAGAAACTGTTCTGTACAAGTTAATCAGTGTTTTGTTTTCTGATTTTGCATTTTTAAGTTTTTGAGTTGGTGCAATAATTCATGTTGCTCTTACTGTGTGCTGTAACAGTCTTATTTATACCTTACACTTCTTTTTCTGAACTCAGTGGGACTCTATTTGCACTTCGCGACTTCTGTCATCCATGAAATTACAGCAGCTCTGGGAATCTGCTGCTTCAGGTGAGAATCTGAGTTTACCTAGTATTGTTCATGGTTTGGTTTGGTTAAGTTCAGTTTGCAAGGAAAATTCAGATAAAAAAAGTCACAAAGATTTCAGCATAGCCCAACCAGGTGGAAAGCTCATTAGTCCTAACTGAACCAAATATGATCTGATCTTTTGAATTCAAATCCGAGCAATACCAAAACTACTATTAAAAAACCAAACCAAATTAAAGTATGTGACCTAAGTAGGATGAAAATATGTCTTAGCAAAGGTATTTTGCACGATCAGGCTACAGACATCTGTTCTGTTTTCCAATTAAATTCGATCAATTCCTGTCTGGTTCAAGGCTTAGTTAGTATATTGGGCGATCTTGGCATTTGTTTCTCGCAAGCCTGATGAGTTTTCTTGAGTAGTTGTGAATGAATCCGATTGTTATCCACTTGTAGCATTGATGGTGCTCTTTGATTAAAGTTTAAGTTTTTGGCAGTTGGGGTATTTGGTTACTTTTATAACAAAGTTGATTCTTAAATGTGCTCATTACCTAGAATATTCTGGCATACAGGATCTTGGTTGCTAACTGCTACCATTCTTAATTTACAGGATAACTAGGAAGAAAGCATGAAAACTGACTGTTCTGATTTTGGTATGTACTCCTTAACCTATGTTCTGATTGTTGTATACTGTTCCTAATTTTTTCTGAGTAATGTTATATGGTTTGATGGTTCTATCTTGTATTCAATGGTTTAGTGATTTCATATGCATCATTATGACTTTTTTTTCAGCTGGCAATTTTGGAGAAACGGGGCAAGCAATTTGGCATGTCATTTTTGGTTTAACATTGATGAATAGCATTGTAACTGGATCTAGTGCACTAGGTCTGGTTCAACCTCTGTTACAAACTATTTAATTAATGTGATAATAGAGTAGTCGATTTGGGAAATGCACACTTTTTGAAGCATTGTTTTATATTGGAATTTATGATGGATGCCTGAGCTTTCTATGCTGTGTTAGGCTGGAGGGATGAGAATGTGTATTTTGGATCAGGACCTGGAGGCTTGTACTGTAAATACAGGGATACATCCTTCGAAGCTGGGGTTGTCGGGGAGCGTAAACCCGTTGTTATCGTCAACACTGGGGAGATCTCGTTTACCTAAAAAAACCGGTCAGATGCCTCGACGTATTTATTTATGTTTTTATGGTGATGAACTGCCTAATTGGACATCATTGGGATATGATTGATGACTTAAAAAGAGAGGATTCCGATGATGAAAAAAAGCAATAGCTTAGAGAGGGCTCGGCGATTGCATATTTTTTATTACTTGAATTACCCTTGGTTTTCTATACATATTGTCCAAGGTAAGGGCTGTTCAAGATTAGAAATGTCTCCTTTCAAGTGGGATAGGTAGAATAATCTCCAAGGGAGAAAATCATGCGTTCCGAGAATTCTTAGTTTGACTTAGTAGTATCTCAATTGATGCAATAAGTAAATAAAAAAATACTTAACTAGTAAATACTAAAAAAAAAAAAAAATCATTTTCTTTTTGTTAAAAAAAAAGACTTATGTTCATTGTTCGAATATGACGAGTTGGTTTTCATTTATTATTTTATTTTATTTTGTGTTATTGAATTTATCAATTAACTTGTACCATCAATTTATTTTGAACATGCTTATGAAATTGAATACAAGCACACTATAAGGAACAAAATAGTTCGAGTGATAGATGTAGGACATCCCCTTGCTATAGTTTGTTAGTGTAGTGGAATGAAATGACGTGATTTGGTGTATGTAAATAAGATCAATAAAATAATTAATCAGATATCTATTAAGCTTTTGGGTTAATTTCAATTTATTTTCTTGAGGTTTGGGAGGAATCTAGTTTTTTCCTTTGAGGTTTAATTATATCGATGCCCCTCTAAGATTTCAATCATATATCAATGTTTCCTTTCAAGTTAATTATCCAAACTAATAGAAAAAGGCTTTTTTCAATCCCTAAAATTTTGAAAATTAATAAAATAGAACTCTCTTATAATAATTGGTGAGATTGAATCATCTGCTCCAATTAAAAGGTCCAAATGATACAATGTTCTTTTTATATGGTTTACATTGAAATCAAAGAAATTTTTTTTTTTTTAAATAATAAAAAAAAAATAGAAAGACCAAAAGATTAAAACCTTAAAGCTAAGAAACCAAACGCTATATATATAGTACTAGATTTTTTGATCTTGCATGTCTAAATTCTATAATTTTGTCTGTTGTCAGTCTGACTCTTTTTTTAATCTAATCTCGATTTTCATCCTATGTAAAAAGAAAATTTAAACTATAAAGTGGATGAAAATCGAGATTAGATTAAAAAAAAAAAAGAGTCGACTGACAGCGAACAAAATTGTAGAATTTAGATATATAAGATCAAAAAGCTGAAAGACAACTAGTACTAATCAAATTATAAAATTATTATCTCTGTGAAGAATACTCTTGACTAAAAAATCTGTCCCTGTATTGTTTTTAGAAGAATATGATTAAAGAAGGTAAGACTCAAAAACTTTATAAAGTTGTTACGGTATATCATAAATTGCCTTACCCATCCAAATAATAACATCAGTTGAATCCGATTCAATAATCTAATTTATCACATGAACATAGGTAGAAGCGGCACTAATCTGCAAGGCCTTTTTAATAGTAGAAAATCAACCTTATTTGACTATTTGATCCATGTTGGAATAGAAAAGGTGCGTAAGAAAATTTCTTCATTATTTTTTGAAACTCTTCCAATTCCTCAAATCCCAAGCTTGCCCAAAATAAACCATCTATATTCTATTTTAAGGAGGTTAGATTAGGTTTGCACTACAATTATTGTTTGACATCTAAGATTATTAGTCCACGTCTTAATACCATCTGAATATTACTCAAGATTGTTTCTTGTATAGGCAAAAATGATCGTCTATAAAATTCAACTCGCAAGCTACCTTGTAGAAGACTAGAGAATAATTTTTTTTTTTTTCTCATTCTGGTTTTATATCATTGAAAATTTTCTTATTCTTTGCCAAACAAATTGACCGAAGTACAGCATAAAAAACTACGAATCAAATATTTTTCTACATCTCGTCATAACAAAAAATTCCCACCCATAATACAAATTATCGACTGATCGTGGCATAATCTAAAAACTTCTCAATCAAGACATTATCCAACTTCACAAAATCCACACAACATCATAGTAAAAAAGAAGATATTGAGTTGTCTCCATTCTAGAACTGCCAAATTAAAGAGCAAATATTGGCATCGTTTCCTGCAGCAACTGAGTTTCTAGTATTTAATCTTTCTAAAATTGCAAGTCAAGTAAAGGTTTCAATCTTTGATGGAGCAAGATTTCACCATACATAGGAGTGAATTATTTGATTTTCAATTAACAAGTTATTATTAAGCAAAGAATAACACGATTTGATTGAATAAATGTCTTTGCTATCATAAGAACATATAATTTGATCAGTTGCATCTTGTAAAGATGAATATTAGGAACAACATCTAAGAGTGAATTTGCTTGCTACCTCTCATTTGAACAAAAAGGTCTCCATCAGAATTTTTAAGACCAATAAAAACCAGATCAAAAGGCCATATCTACCACCTTACATAATTTGTCATCGTTCGCTCTAGTTTGAACCACTAGATACACTAAGTCTCTAAATTCGCTAAAATAAGAGAGCTTTGTTCTTAGCAATTAAAGAACCAATGTCAATATCAGAGTTCCTCTTAGGCTGAGAAAGGAAATTCCATACAATTTTACAAATGTATTTCTTATCTCTATTACCATTCTAGAGAAAACTTTGTTGAATAGAAAAAATCCTCTTCGCTACTCTAATTGGTAATTTAAATATAGGGGGATAATAACAAAAATAGCAAACAAAACTGATTTGAGAAGACAAATATGTCGATAAAAAAAAAATAACTTTTCTTTCTCGTCCTTTAAATGGCTTCTAATCTCATCAATCACTAGATTTCAGGTTGACTTGCACTTAGTACTAGCACCGTATGACAAGTCACGATACTAGGTAGTCTACCAGCTTTGCATCTCAAGAAATTAGCTAGAAGCGAAAAATAGCCTTCATCAACATATTGAAGATGCCTAACCAGTAATAACGCAATGTTGTTGTAAATCCCTCCATCAGCAACTCTGCTCAAAAGAACAGTAAGGCCTTCGGTAGACGAGTTAAAAAGAAAGAGAGATAAATGATCTCTTTGTGCGATACCCTAGAAAATACTGAACTCAGAAGTAAGTGATCCATTAATCAAAGGAGAAAGCTTGAAAGTACTGCTGCACTGAAAAATCCATCTCCTCCATTTTGTATGTGGCATCATTTACACTTTTTAATTGAAAGCAAAAGGATTTTATCTCATCAAATTATTTATAAAAGATTCTATTTGATCATATTTCTAAAGTTTAAGGATTGAAAAAAATTGTTGTTAGTTCATTTGATATTGAAACCTTAGGGGAGGCATTGAAACAATTGAAACCTGAGGGAGAGAAACTGAATTCACTCCAAACCGAAGGAGGTAAATTGATATCAGCCCTAAACTCTTGCTACAGACGTGATGATTAGACAATTTGGTGTAAATTACATTTGTTAATTATTAGTGTACTTTCAAGGACAAAAGCTCGCATATTAAGGGTATGTATATACTTTTTACTTTTGAAATCTTGCTAGGAAAGAAAGTAATTTTGCTGGGTTGTATTGAGTGGCTATCATAAATGAAATTCTGATCACAATTATAAATTCAAGCACACTTTTATAAACTTAATTTCATCATGCCAGAAAATTAGTTAAAATTAAATTTAACAATAAACTTTTTAATTATAATAAACAAATATTTATAGATAAAAAGTAATGATTTCTCTTGGAATATACTCCAATTAACTCCCTTGCCCATTAATGGATTGGTGATCGTTCATATGTATCATGCTAGGTTCCTTCTTTCTTGTGAGATATGCAGGACGTTACACGTATGTGTTATTATTGGATTTGTACTCAATAACTTTTCCGTAGTTAATTCAATGTAAAATTTCAACTATTTCTGTTTTTTTTTTTTTTTTCATCATCAACAAACTCTACAAAAAAAAAGAGGATAATTTTTTTATTTATATATGAAAGAAGTGTAATAATAATAAAAAAAAACAATATATTAATTTCTCCAAAAAAATGTCATTGTATATTATATATAACACACATACATTTTTATTTTTATTTTTTTACAATTATAAGGGGTTGGCCTATCAATATATATGTCAATGGCATGTTCTGCTTTCACAACCCTTAGGAATGGGGACGCAATCGAAAAGCCTTCACTACTCCCATATATCTCTATGAAGGCGGTTCTCGCTTTACTCTTCCTCCTGACAATCCTCCTCCTCCAAAGACTGGCGAGTTGCAGCTGATCCATCTGGGGTACCCATTAGGGTATGATCCTTTAAGGGACGAGTACAAGGTTCTCAGTGTTCGAACGATGGTTGACAAGTCTAAAGAACATCATATTAGCTCGATATACAAGATTTTCACAGTCGGGACAAACTCATGGAGAGAGATTCGCACTGATATTCCTTCCATCTTGCGCCCTCATAAATACTGCGTTTGTGTTTATGTGTAATATATATAGCGCTGATCACGACAACAATGCAGTCAAACTATGAGATGGTAGAGACATGTAACGTTGCAGAAGAGCAGTTTCACTTGTTTCAAATCGATTTACTTTTTGTTTAAGATATAATTTTGGGTTGATTTAATTTTCAAATTAACTTGTATAGTTTATTTTGGGTCAATGTCCATTGCTTAGTTTTGTAGAATGTTAAAAACAAACATGAAGCACAAGCAACGGGCTCTTAATATAGGTGATGATGACAATATTCGCATGAATTACATGTAGTTGTCCACGGGTAAAGTTGAAGGTTTTTTGGATGTCCAGTATATCACAAATTTGTTTCTTATTGTTTGCCTTTAGAAATCAGCAAGAATTATTAAAATTGAAATTCTTTTAGCAATTAATTCATTTGTGTTCTGATCATACGAATTCATTGACTTTATGCCTTTCAAGAATTATACTTAGGTTTTTTTTTTTTTTTTTAATCTTTTTGAGGAGCTAATATTGGTATTTTTATTACATGTTGCTGATTTCTGTTCTAAACAACTTATGTTTTGCCATTCTACTACTGCAATTTTGATTCTCTAAATTGCTCAATTTAACTTGTATTTAGCAGTTTTTTGTAGTTTATGAGTATTGTTGTCAGTATGATGATGGGAACCTCTTGTCTAGTTGTTCTTGAAGGTGTTGGGTCGGAATTGTGCTCGGAAAGCGCATACCGATCGAAGGACATGACTGTTTCTTTTTTTCATTTTTGGGTTTAGAGATCAACAACGAATAATTAAAAGATGGGACTCCAAATTAATTGAGACCTCACGAGCTGTTGCATTGCAAGAGTTACTGCGATCAGCCCATTGGCAGGACATGCATGAATGGGAATTAGGACCGCACAAAAAGTTGTATTATTCACATGCATTTCCAAGTTTCTCTTTTTTCTTTTTTCTTTTTAATCTTGGATTTCAAGTGAAACATTACTGCTGTGAGTTGTGCAAATGTTTACCCTTCCGCATACTTCCATTTTCCACTTCTTTACGAAGTATTACTTTTCTGTTGGAATAAGATAAAACTAGAGGATCACGGTATCACATTCTCTGTGGTATCTACACTACTCGTTGATGGAAATTAAGGAATGACGTGCGTGATTCAGGTATGCTCATCTTTCTGCACTTGGGGTTACTTGTTAATTTTGTTGGCTGAGGCAAGAAAAGACGTGTGCAAGCTTGCCTTTCCTAGTTGGCCAGAATGTTTTTTGAATTGCTTATTTGAAAAAGAAAAAAATATCTACCTCATGTCTTGAAACCCCTTTAATTTCACTACAAATCATTCAAGTTTTTTGTTTTTTTATTCGTGATCTTGTGATGGAGTCTGGAATTTTCAATCTAGAAAACACGTTGTGGAGAAAATAGTTGCTGTTCTGCCTTTCAAAATTATGGTGTTGCTGAGTTGATTTTCCTAAAAAAAGTTTGTCAACTGTAGCTTGCATTGGCCGGACTGTAGAGAGATCTAATAATGCTCTTCTTGGTGTTTGATCTCAAGGATGAAAACATTCATTCTATCTCCGTTCTTGATTGTGGTACCAGAGAAAACTGTTGGGTAGAACATGTTGTCAGGAACCGATTCAAATTAGGAGATTTTTGGCTGTGATGGCTGTGATAAATTTATAAGATCTTGTAGAGAAGAACAGACTGATATTTACACTACAAGAAACAGTTTTGGTCGCGAAACAATTATATGACAGGGCAGGCTGTTAAGATGGGGAAACCAAAACTTTCCCGGCTGTCGAAGTTCATGAAATGCCAGAATCGACATCCAGAAGCCGATTTCCGTCGAATTTTGTCATTAGCTATTCTGAAAAGAGTAATTTATTTGAAGGAATATATATAGTTGAACTCAGGCTTTTGCATAAAAATGGTTCGGAAACTGCGCAGGTCAATTTTGTTATATAGTTCATGGTGGAAGGTGGTGGAAACATGGACGGCTCGTCGAATGATAGCAAAAATTATGCTTCCATTGAGCTTAATAATGACAGCAATCCCTAACGAATTCATCTTTTTCGATATCCTGCCAAGACTCCCGGTCAAGTCTCTTTTGCAATTCAAGTGCGTTTGCAAGTCATGGGATTCCAGCTTTACTTTTGCGGATCCACACGTTACTCTTTCAAATGAACGCCACGATGGTGGCCTTCTACTTGTCTGGTACAGATCCCAAAAAGATATCCACTTTTTCTTAGCAAACCTATAGGGAGAACTTTGTTTTACAGCTTTCAAGGACATTGACTGTTGTTGTTCTTCGCAAAGTATCAATGGCTTGGTTTGTTTGCACCCTTTAAGTAAACATGATCATTTTCCCAGCATGGGAAGGAGGGATTATAGCTGTTATACTTATCCTTGTAACCTTAGCACCCGAGAAATTTTTTGGGTTCCCAGCAATTTTTCACTTAATGATCCCCTGCGATGTGATGTCGTTTCTGACTTTTTCTGATACGAGCCTCCCAGGAAGGAATACAAGGTATTTAGGGTATGTCAAACTGATGCTGGTCAACCAGTGGTGGGGCGTTACCATGAGATTTTCACTCTCGGAACCAACTCTTAGAGAAGGATGGATGCTACCTTTTGAAATCACTTCTATCAAAGCTGATGCAGAAAATTTGTGTTAATGGCGCACAGCCTTGGTCGTTCATGTTAGAGAGACCTACGTATATATTAGTGTTCGATCTTAAAGATGAGAAGTTTCGGTCCTTCCAGGCAGAATAGAGCTTCCCCTTACGACAATGATTTCATTGGCATCATCCTTCTTCTTCTTTTTTCTTTTTTGGGTTCGAATCCAATAACATTCCAAAAATTGATTCAAGTAAATGGTTGCTTGGCTCTGATAGATTATCACGTTCTTCTCTTGAATAATGAAATCAAGCTATGGGTATTGAAGGACTACCCCAATCAGATCAGGATCAAAGAGCAATTGGATACGATCACAAGGGCCATTTCCTGTCTGTTCTATTCATACTGGTGGATGTTAGTAAACATGTTTGGAACGAAGTGAAACTACATGGGTACTCTATTATGATATGAAAAGGAAAACTTTCAGGAGAGTCGAAGGTATTGAATTGCCAAGATTCACGTCCACATGTGCTTCTAATGACAGATTTATTACTGGTTATTCTGAGAGCCTAGTATCTTTGAAGGAATTTAGTAGAACAAATTAGAGGCTCATAGCACATGAAAAACAGGAAAGAAGGGGTTAAGACTCGAAGCAAACCAAACACTAAGATGCCTAGAATCTAGGTATAAAGAACGGAGAAAGGAACAAAGAATCTCCCTGATATCAAAACTTCTGATACTAGATTCTAACGAGAGCCAGATTCAGATTTCAGAGGGTTTTGTATAATATGGGGGCAAGTGAATCAATGCATCATTTAATCGTCCGTGTAGGAGTAACTTGAGAGTAGTTATCTATTGTAAGTGCGTATTTACTATACTAAAACAACAAACAACTTTCAGTAAATCAAAAGGTTTGGCTATTCAATTCGTTTAGCCCCCACCTGTCCGTGAAAGGGGAGGAACGAAAGAGAGAATAATTTGTGATCAGAAAGCATATTGAATGACTATTGAACCTCAACTAAGCCCCAACCGTGTGTACATTAATGAGGGGAAGCACTGGTAACATTTGATCTGCCACGAGCAAGTGATCGTATAATTAAGATTTATTACTTACAGGGCCTTCTCCAGCCATCTTGGCAACCTCAGTGAATCCTTCATCCCAAGTCGTGTGAGGAACACCGAATATAGGAGGTGTAATAAGAATACAAAGAATCCACTATTTAGCACGACCTGTTAAACAAATTGGATAATACTAAGTGCACTGTATATAAAAAACATTCAACAGGAAGGGAGATGAAAGTGTAGTGCAACTTACCAGAATACTAAATAGAGCATATATGAAATTCATTGATGGAACGGTATTAATACCAGTGGCAGCAAATATGAACGTGAGGGAAGCATGAATATTTATGGTGATCTACAAGCAAATGAAAGAACCTTGTAAGTGAACTCCCAGTGGTGAAGGAAAAAATTACAGGGTAAAAGGTGAAATATTACCAAAGCAAATATGTTTTCTCTTATTAAGAATGAGGATGTTAAGACATACCCCACGGCACCAGTTGCCCGAGCCTGCATTCCAGAGAATGTCTGTCAACAGAAATTTTTGAAATAACAAGAAAATACTATTGCTTCAAACAGGGGTAGGAAAGTCAAAACAAAAGGGAGGAAACACTACAATGGTGCACAAGAAAATCGAAAGACCCCAATTGGCTCCCATCCTGAAAAATATGCAAAATGAATAATAATCCAACAAGTTAGTCCATGCTGATCCATTTAAATTCAAACAGTTACGTATTTTTACTTGGTTGTATAAAGTATTTGCAACCAGAAGCATATAGGTATGTCAAACAAAAATCAGAAAGAAGAAAAGAAAAAAAACACAACTGATTAGGATTGTGATCACATACCTCCATAAAGAACCCATTGTGAAACCAACTAAACCATGAGTTAGCTGAAAGAGAGATGCATGAAGCGAGTAAATCATCAGCTATTCTGCTAAAAAAACGAGTGGGTTGTAAATTTTAAGCGATCAAGTAGACATGCCCAAAGAGTTAGACATATCATACGTAAAATTCTCACAAATTAACTTCAAGAAAAATTTTATAGACTTATTTTGCCATCCTGGTGAATTAACACGTCCTATCGCTGTTCATCATTTCTTAAGCTTGCAAGAAACAATTCTACCAACAAAGTTTAAACCATTACCGAGTAAATGGTTCAGAACCACATATCAAGATCAAATTTCTACTCGTTTTGTTTATTCTACGCACTTATACAGATTAATTAAACGGTAAGTAGCTAATATTTGCCACAGACAAGTGTACAGATGCGAGAAAACCATATCATTTTGTAATACATATTAAATAATCATTGTAAGAAGCAATCAAGAAATTCTCAAAATCCTATAAACGTCAACACTAATCTAAGAACAGAAAGTTGATAATTTAAAGCAGCCAAAAAGAAGTTGAGAGAGCTCACCAGATAGGTTAAGGTTTTCACCGGACCAGACAAAACAAACAAGAGCATAGCAGTCGCCACCTGCCAGAATGCAAGAACATTTCAACACAAAGCAGTAATTATAGAACAACTCGGCAAGATTATAACTTAAAGAAGTGAGTCATAGATGGTTACAAACCACAGTCTTCCTTCCACCTGCAACACCCCATCTCAAAGAAGAGATTACTATCGGCAATGAGAAGAAACATCCGAAGTAATTCTGCAAAAATACCAAATTCTATTAAAAAGCAATGATAAGGAATACAGATTGCTAAGATAAAGAATCATTCTTGATCAAATATCAAAACTTTATCTCACTCTTTTTGCTGCTGCTCTGCAAAATAGTACCTAAAAACTAACAATTATAACAACCCAGAAATTATTTGCACTAAAGATTTGAACTTGATGAGTTACTCTACAAACCAGCAATACAATCAAGCAACCCAGTTGACCAAAAACATTAGTAAACAAAAGCAGCAACAACAAACGGAAGCAAACCAGCAAAAACAAACTTAGAAATTGACCTAAATGAATCAAAAGCAAACCTCAATTGAGAGAGAATTGCTCAAGAAATAAACAAGTCCAGTAACAGAAGCAAACATTGAACACTCCACCAATCTCAGTGTATTCTGGTAAACCACGCCATCTGGAGCCAAGTCCTCGAATTCTGCTAAATTGGTTGCTGCATTCCTCTCTTCTTCTCTTTCTCCCTTATAGTTGTCAAAAAATGGAGCTCCGATACTTGAAACAGTGAAGATTTTGAAGGTGGGTCTGATGGAAGTAAGTGGTGAAAGAATTGAAGAAGAAGAGGAAGAAGAGTCAGAAGTGGAATATCTGAAGGAGAACTTGAGGGCATGAGAAAGGGAGTGACGAGGGACAGTTTGGAAAGTAGAAGGAAATTGAGGTTTAAGGCTTTGGATTTTGAGGATACTCATTTTCTCTTCATGGACGAGAAGGCACAGCGAGAAAGAGAGAGAGAGAGTTTGTGCTGATAAATTGAAGAGCGGGAGAGAGAGAGGGGCCGAGGATTTGGCATGGGCTGGGCTACAATGAGATTTTTCTTTTGGGTTTTCGGTCAAAGTGTTTTGTTTGTATTGATGGATCAAAGCCTCATGGCTTGTTTAGCCCAAATCATTTACTCCATCAACAATAATTTGACCAAAAAAATAGTAAAAACACATTTTTTTTTTAATATAATTTTATAACTTATACACCCAAAACACACATCAAGACTTAAAAGAATTAATCTGTTAAAATTTAAGTTTATGATCTTTTGCAAGAGATCATTACTATTAAGTTACGAGTTCTTTGATAACAATAATAATAAAATAATAATAATATTTTTTCTTGTGATGTATTATTGTTGCCTTCTCTTATGAAATAGTTTTATTTGTAAATAAATAAAAGAAAGTGGAGGATATATTTATATAATGTTCTTATCTTTTATTATTATTATTTATTTTGTAAAATAGCATTGCTGAACCTACTCTTTATTTTTCCTTTATATAACCAAATCAATAAAAAAGTCCACTTTCGCATCTTTTTTTTTTTAATCAGTGCGTCCATGTTTACTCTCTCTTTTTTGTTCTCTCTTCTAGACTAGAGGGTTAATCATGTCCTGATCTTTGCAATAAGGTATTTGGTTGTTTAATGTTGATCAGTTTCAGGGCATTGGAGTGTCCTACACAAATTTATTTTATAAATATTGGATGGATACCTTATTTTAAATGCAATAATTCTACAACAGCCACTAAATATTTCTCATCTTTTCATGTTTATGATATCTCCACTCTAGTCCAATTTCCCGATCCCGGTTCGTTCAATGCACCTTTGAAAGCAAAAGGTTTTGCTGTATGAGGTTTGATGGGCCCCTAAACATAGGTGTAGGACAGCAAAAAATGTTGTTAAGAAATTGTGCTCAATCATGAAACCCATTAAAAAGACAAAAAGAAATGTTGCTTGTTCATTGAGTTAAGAGTAGGAAAACCTTATTATATATAGTTGGGCATCTTATAATCATGAATTAGAAAAACAACAGTATCATTAATGAACAAGGACAATATGGACCAAAAATAATTAACAAAAACAATCATCATCATGATTATGAGCAGCTTAGTATCGATTAAATTAGACAAAAAACATTCCTTCAAAACGATTGTTTATTTGTCCCAATGATGCCTTGGGATTGGGCATGCGTCCGTAACATAATGGCTTAAATAACACAATAAGCTTTGTACCTACCTATTATTTTTGGTAGCTTTGTTTTGGGTCATTTAGTTCTTTGGGAAAAATTTAGACACACAGACTTGAAAAAAAAATAAATAAATAAAAACTCTAACAGCTTGTTGGACAATACAATGACTTTTCCAAATAACAGTAATTAGTGATCGTGGAATACTTCTTGAATTTGGACAGCCTTATTTTTATTTAATTTTTTTGATTGGTTTTGTTAAATATAAAAACAGCCTTCGATTTTTTAATTAACTTTATTATACTGAGTTGATCAAACCATAAACTTTTTAAACAAAACAATATATATTAACAAAAATTTTCTTTTAGTGCTTGTCTATTGTAATTTATCTCCCTTTTTGCCATGACCACGAGTAAAGATGAAAACATTTTCCAATAGCTAGATCTTAAATTATTGTTGGATCCCACCGAAATAATAACCGACAGATCATACCACAATCTCAAATTATTGTATGAATTTTCGCCGTGAACAATGTCAATAGTTCAGCTAATTCAATCTGTTCAAATTAAAGTAAGTTTCGTAGAAGGGGTAAAAAATAAAAAATAAAAATCACAGAGTCCATGGTGCATGCTTTTATGATGTTCCTTTACTTTTCATTGCGGGGAAATAAGTATTGAGGTATGAAAAATATGCGAAAAAGTATCCTCAAGTTTAGCATACTTGCATTTCAGTGATTGAGTTTAAAAATTTTAAAGGATGTGTTTGATTTGTAGAAAATATCTTTTAGAAAAATGATTTTTTTATTTTTTATTTTTCAGTGGAAAAACACTAAAAATAAATCAATGGAAAATATTTTTCACTCAAACTCTATATAGTGCCAATTGGAAGGAAAATATTTTACCTTTATGAGGAATAATAAAGTATTTTTTTTTAGTATTACCAACTTACAATATCAACAATACCATAATTTAACCATTTCAACAACTAATATTTCTACTACTGCTACTACAACAACAGCTATCACTATCACCATTATATCATCTTTTTACAATTATCATTTTATCATCGTTCTATCATAATCTTTCAACACTCCTTTACCACTATCGTCACTATCATCACCTCACCACTAACAACACCATCACCACAATCGACATTACTCGCTACCCGTTGTATATATAACAACTATTTCATTAACATTTTTACCAGTATCACTATCACTAGTCGTTATCATTGCCATTGCAACTAACACCATCTTGTTAATAAAGTAATTATTGTTACAATTATTATTTTATTAATGTTGCTACAATAACCATGAATTAATGACATGATTCATTCTTCTGTTTTTGACATTTTCTTAATGTAAGGTATCTAATTTTATTTATTTATTTATCTACTCCTTAAATTTTCTTAATATAGCCCTTTTGGTATTTTTTTTAAACCAATTTTCTAAGTCAATGTGACATGTGGTAAAAAAAAAAAAAACTCTCGTGGTGACATGTTAGATTAATTTGCCAAGTGAAAAAAAAAACAAAATAAATAAAAAATTTAGCTAAAAATGAAATGGAAAAAAAAAAAAACATGCAATTAAATCTTCACATTTCTCTTCCATACATCTAGACTAAGGAATTTCATCAATTTTGTTAACAATTGAAACGAGACAAACCCTAAATCCTCTCATTTGCTTCCATTTTGAAATCGATAAAAAAAGTAGATGTAAGATGAAAAACCATAAAAATAGAATAAGAGAAAACGAGAGAATTGAAAGATCTGGAGGTAACTATGAGATTGCAAAAAAAAAAAAAAGAAACAAACTCGGATATGGGTCTTTATGTGACATCAAGCCCACGAAGCCATAGTCTTAAGTCTGTTTGTGGTTTAATTTTGTAGAAAGAATGAGTAGTCCGATCGAAGTTGAGACTTGAGAGAAGATAAAAAACAAGAGAATAAAAAAAAGACGAGAAAAGGCAAGTGAGGGATGAAGAATGCAAGAGGTGCAAGCTGGACATACACTTCCTCTTCCAATGCTTCTTTTGTTTACCGTTTAATCCATCATTCTTTATCAACATTTGTCAGGGTGATAAAAAAAAATTCTTTTCTTTTTCTTCCTTTCTCTCTGCGTTAATTTGGACATTTTAGTGATAGTTTTGCATACCCTTTTGCCTAGTTTTGAACATTTGATTCGAAAAAAAAAGTTGTCTAATTTAATGGATATTACTTTTATTTTAACTATAATGGTAAAGAAACACAATTGTCCATATTTCTTTCTCATTCTCTACTTTAAAAAACAAAAATTGTTTCAATGGACTGGATGTAAGGAAAACATTTAATCAATAAGGAAACTATTATAGTTAATATATATATATTTTTTTATTTCTATCAATAGATTCTCATATATAAAAGTTGATCTCTTCATCACGAGACACTTCTACCCCTTCTCCACAACAATTAACCAGGTGTCAATAAGCTTTGAGAAGCACATTCTCTTGGATTTTAAGGTCTGCACCATTCTTCTTGAAAGCCGAAGTTTGGCCAATTGGGTATAAATAGGTGACATGCATAACATTGAGCAAGGTCATTGATATGTGCCCTTCTAGGAATTGGAATTGATTAATGCAGAGATTCTAGAAGGCGACCATTATAGTCACCGAGCTAGGATTTGCAATGTAAGAGTGGGTTGATAGAAGGATGACCTTGTAAATTCTCATTGCATCCCATTTCTTACCTAATTGAGGGATAAGTCTTTTCTTAACCCAATTTTCATATTTGGTGTCCGGTTTTAGCCACACAACATGGAAAACTTTGATAGATTAGGTCCAATTTCGGAGAGTTGAGTAGAATTCAAGTGAAAAGAGTATGCTAGCTTCACAAGTCTTTAGAAATACCATGTCGATCATCTTTGCAAGATGAATGACTTCGGTGTTAACGGTAGGACCCAACGTCGGATAAGAACTCTTATGTGGGTTCTTTTTATGACCAGATCATAACGTCAACCATGTCATTGCTAGTAACATTCCGTAACAAACATGTGTTAATCGTACCTATTTGCTCGAAGAAATCATTCAATCGATAACAATCTCCTTGGAAGGTAACTTTCTCTTAAATAACTTTTTTTGAGGAATTAATTTTTCCTTTTGAAGCCTTTTTTTCATGAAAGAAAGGAAAGAGGAATTTAACAAAAGGTAGAAGAAATATTCAATAAAAGATCAAAAAGAAAGCAAAGGCTTTTTGTCTTCTAAGGTCTAACGAGAGGGAGAAATCGCAGCAAAACCGAAAATGTTAAAAATCACCTTTTCTTTTATATGATATATTTTAAGGTCTCGTGATGTGAACTTTAAGTTTTGATGGTTAAGATGTGGTAAAATAAAAACCAATGATTGTTGGGTAACCGAGGTGTGAAAAGTGATTTTAACCAACCGTTTGAAAAATAGAATGGTGTGCGATCTTATAACGTTTATCAACATTTAATGTTTTGCTCATTAGAGAAAGAAATTTTCATCATTTCATCTCTAAAGGGCTAAAAAGGAAATGTGTTAGCATTTTAAAATTTTAAAAGAATCACACGTCGATCAATTATAGTATCTTTTTACGATGAAACGATAGAAACATAAATGAAACAATACATTTGATTTTATAACCAACCAAATTTCGATAATGCGTTAAGTCTAAAGTAAATCGATGCTTTGGTCTTATAACCAATCAAGTTTTGACAAAACATTAAGATTTAAATGAAACGATGCGTTTGAT